TAATATCAAGCCCTATGACTGTAATAGCAATATTAGTTTTGTATTTTTGGTTATATAACTGTTAAGCTCTGTGGCTGTGGTAGCAGTGCAGAAGGCTTTGTTTTGTATGATGAGTAGGCTCTAAAGCTGCAGTAAAAATGCAAGGACCTGGGTTTTAAGCTCTATGAAGAGTATAGTAGTTGCAAGCTTTGTGTAAATATTTAGGCTCTGAGGCTATAGTAGTAGTGCAAGGACTTTTGGAGTTTTAGGCTCTATAGTTATATGGACTATAGGGTTGCAGTACTACAATAATCATTGTGCTGAAGTAATTAGTTTTCACATTGCATTATAAGATCGATTCTTGTCTTAGCTATATAAAGAGTTTGGTATTTCACAGTGGTCTCTCTATGTTAGAGTTATGGAAAGTTGTAGTTGGCACTTAGGGTTATAGCTATATTGACTAGTAGTATTGATTAGGAATTTGTAGGGTAACAGATAGAGCGTAAATGGGTAGTGAACTGAATTCCTATATGGAGATCAATTAAAATAATTTATTTATACTCATAGCTATTTATTGTAGAAGTGAAAACAACAATTATATGACAGAAAATTTCATTTATTAGAGTTAATGTTACTCGTAGCTATATATGGAAGCAAATTAATTTTAATAAAAAAAATACTAAAATTGTTATTTTTTATTATTACCAGTATTGTAGACTTAGTTAATTACTTGACTGATATATTGTATATCGATAATAAAAATCAGCAGAGATGGCATATTATAATGTCTAATTAAATTGGGTTTAATTTTTTTTGTACATATGTCCAAAAAAACTTAAAATCAATTAGATATTGTGATATGCTATCCTTGAAAATCAGTATAAATAAATACCATATTTTAGTGATTTGATTGTTAAAAAAGTAATCTTTTGAAGAGTTAAGTAATTATCAGCAGTTATGTTAATAATTAATAGTTTATTATTTTTTTTAGGCTTTCTATTCCTGGTTTTGCGTGATAATATCATGCAGCTATCTAGTTAGAGAACAGTAGTTGCCAGGAAATAGTGGTGAGCAAACCTAATTATATATCAAATTCAAACATATTTGCAAACTTTTGGGTCGAATTTAAACCAAACTCAAAGTCATATTTGAGCTTGATTTGGGTTTGAGTATTGTGAATTTGGGTTTGATTTGGATTTGAAGATCATTAAAATTTCAAGTTTGGGTTTGGGTTTGAGTTTGGGTTTGACTGAACCTGAACCAAACCCAAATCAAATATCGGAGCTCTACTAATTACTATATTTATATGATTTTGTATATATTAATATCATTAGTTACTTCATAATCATACTAAAACTTTCTTATAAATATGTATTATTGGCTATATTAGTCTTTTATTTGCTTGCTAATTCTTTTATTTTTATGTTTTTAGTTACTTCTATTTATATAATTAAATATTAAAATAAATATAGATAAATTTAAACAAGTATAAACCAAGTATATAGTATAAAATAAACTTATCTAAATTAAATTTTTGTAAGATTTACTTATTATTATATGAAACATCTTGTTATCTTAGTTCAAAGTAATATCTTTAAAATTTTGGTAAGTAGTATATATATATACAATTCCTTAATATATATTGTATACTTACAAATAAATAATGCTAGTCTTCAATATTCAAAAAAATATTGTATTATATCGTACTTGGTTAATATAACAAAAAGCTAATTTACTAAATATTTGTGATGCTAATTGTATTTTTTTTAGTCATTATATTTTCAAATTAGAAAAAAGATATTTATATGGTGCTTAAGTTGCCAGAATTGCAAAGTATCTATAAATAAGACTTGAAATTTTTGAAAGTATATTTTTGTGATTCAACTACTACTAGAGAGAATTGTCTAAAGGTTCAATCGATTTTATCATAAGATATTGATCAACCTTATTCTTATTTGTTATATTTTGTTGAGCTACTATAAAAATTGTTAATATAAATAATTCAGATAGATCAAGTATTACTTAGCTTGACTATAATTCAAAATTCTCATTACTTGTAATTTGATCATATTCTAATCTAAGACAATCTTGACAATTTAACATAGCACTCTCAAACTCAAGATTTTTGTAATTTGGATCAATTGCTATTGCTATAAATAATATTTTGTTATCAAAAAACTAATTATAAATTAAATTATTTATTTATTTAATCTAAACATTAAACAAATAAATATATTTACACTACTATTCATATCATAAATTTTACTATTTATACTATAGATATATATAGATAATCTTAAAAAAAGTAGTATAAAAAGCAAAATCTATAGTGCGAATAATAGTATTTAAAAATTTATCTTATAATATTTTGCAAATAATTTATATATGGTGCATGTAGCCTAGAACTGGAGTCACGTGATACCAGTGGCCAATTTATGGAAGGAAGGTATGGTTACGATGATTGGCCGTAAACCTGAATATTTCTAAACAGAAAATCATTGAACATAAAATACGAGCACGCCTTTTCTAAAATTTCTGAAATTGGAAAATTTGTTCATTGTCGATACAATATAATGCAAGGTCGATTGTGATGGTTACAGATTACATGAAGATAACGCAACGATAATACAATATTAATGTAACGATAATTATAAGTTAACTTAAATTGGTAACAGAAAAAAAAAAGATAAAATGTAATACGTATT